ACTTCGAGCTAAAATTACAGGTCGGAGAATGGAAAACATTTCCTTGACTGAGATATGTCGGCTACTTGCGAGCTGTTGGGCGATCGTCATTTCAGCCCCTGTTATGGGACGTGTTAGAGCTAGCCGACGGTTAGTAGCCGTCAGCCGTAAGGTCGTTGGCGTGAAGTCCATGATCTTGTCAATGAGTAGGCGTACAGGCTTGTTCATGTGTCCCGTTTCTTGCGGTCAGGTAATGGACAAGTGCGCATGTTCGGGTAGCACTTGCTTGAATCCCTTTTATTAGACCCATCTGTCCGTATAAACGCTGAGGTCTCGGATACTATAAAGACTAGGCTATCGGGATTTGGCATGTAGATTCCTGAGCTTCTTGCGCATTTGTGCAAAGGAGAGAATCTTAGACAATTTACCAGAGAAACAATCTGAGGCGGACACAAAAATGTGCGGTTGAAAATATTCCACATCTGAAAATCGTTAACTTGTGAGATCTATTTTACAGGGGTTCTTTTAATTCCTAAATTAGTTTTACAATCATAGGAAACGTCTTTCCCCAACATGATCGGACATGTTTCTCTTAGATAACCATCTTTAGAATTTTTGTGTGTGCGAACTTCTCTCGTACACAGCAAAACCTGTGATAATGAGTCAAAAGAAACTTGATCTCATTTTCCTCTAAGATAAGAACTTTTGAATACTTTGGGTGTGCTACCTTTCTCACGTGCACAGCAACACCTGTTGACTATGAATTGCTCATATTGAGGGAAAGGATAAATGATCAATATTGTCACATCGTGGGGCGATGGGGGCAATTAAGTATACTCTTACCCACTAAAATCAGTAAATTTCTTTATTATGCTTATTGTCCCAGAAACCGCATACGCTAATGAGGGGGGCAGGGGCCAATAAAATGCTAAGTGTCCCAGAAGCCATCTATCCCATCTACTTTGTGTCTTTCCCCTTGTTTCTTTTAGTAAAATACTTTTCCTACGTGATAATCTTTTTATTGTCTACCTTTACTGTGAAAATATAACATTTTCTCTTGAGCTTGAGCTATAATATATCAAATGTTCGTTGGTTGGTTATAGAGGGAATTGTTATGTATTAGGCAGAAGGAAGCGTTTCCTACCCCATAAAGTATATATATTATTGATCAGGATCACTAGCCGAGTCGATCTATTGTAGCTATGTCCGTCTGTCCGTATGAACGCTGAGATCTCGGATACTATAAAGACTAGGCTATCGGGATTTGGCATGTAGATTCCTGAGCTTCTTGCGCAGCTCTTTTGTTTCAGCAGCCCACTCTAACCAAATATTGAGATCACGAGTAGGTGGCGCATTTCAATCTCGCTTTGTTGATTGCCTATTTCCAGTTCTCTTTGGTCCATTTAGCTGAGTAACGGGTATCTGATAGTCAAGGTTCTCGACTATAGCGTTCTTCCTTGTTAAATTATATTTTTGCGCTGCTCGTATTATAATTTCGGAATAATCAATCAATTTAATCTCAGCTTCAATGCAGCGAGCAATTTCCGTTAAAGTAGAGTGTGCCCTTTCTATTTGTCTGTTGGACGTACTATGTCGAGGATCCGCAAAGAATATAGATATTTCGTTTTTTTGCGCAATATATTTGAATTGGGATGCAGAAAAACTTAGCTCGTTATCTATCATCAAGGTTTTTCCAAGTGGAAATTCTTGCAAAGTTTCTAAAACTTTGTTTTCTATACTTAGTTTATTTGAAATTTCTTACACGACTTAGAACTTTGAAAAAGAATCTGTACAAGTAATGAATATAACATTGTCGATATACAAATTTTCATCTTCTCTTTCCGGAATAGGTATAAACTCCTTAAGTTCTTGTATAAATTAGGCCAATTCACATTCGGGTTATTTGTTTACAGTTTTCAACAAGTCGTCCATGTGCCCCACAATGCGTTTTGGTGATTACACCAGTTTACAAAAAATTCGACGAAATACGCCATGAAGGCGACTTTGGTTTTCCGGTAAGGTACATCTCCCTGATTAAGAAAACTTTTAATTTGTTGTATGGTACCAATTTGTTTTAAGGTGTAAAAAACGTTTTTAGCTTTTTTTGTTTTTTAACTCGAGTTGTGATAAACCGAATTCGGTCATAAATGACTAATTTTACAGGGAATAGAAGGCCCCTAACTTATTATCCACAGCATTGAGTTTCAGCTACACTTCGTCAAAGTTGAAAAAGTTGGAAGAAATGCAAGTACGCTGGCATAAATGGCTTCTTTAAAAATACACGCATAAAAACCGAAATTAGTTTGTTTGTTTTTTTCTTGACAGCTGAACCTTAACAAAGAATATGAGCCACTGATCACGACAATCCGTCGGTAAATCGATTTTTTAGAGATTTATGAACGTATATCCAAGTTTAGTATGCGGGAGCCGCTGCCGTTAAACATTATTTTAAATTTTCAGTGTTGGGGAACGTCAGAATTTGGTGCCAGTAGTTATGCATAACGTCAGTTATTAGTGCTGGGAAGGCTAAAAACTATGCGATTGCAGTTACGAGGAAATCATTTTCATATTTGGCAAAAAGCTTGTCATGGAGCATAAAAGTAATCGTTTATTTTGTTTAATTGATCCTTACCGAAAAAATCAAAATCACCTTCATGGCGTATTTCGTCGATTTTTTTTTTGTAAACTGGTATTATAAGCAATTGTCGTCAGCGTTTTCGATATCCTGGATAAATGTTATTCTGTAAAAAAATGTATTTATAAAATTACCTTTGAGTGGTTTTTGAATTTTCTAAATGAAATTTCCTTAATGAAAAAACTTGATTTACCTGATTATTAAGCGGGTAACAATAAGAGAGAAAAATAAAAAATTAAACATTGTCCAAGATGGTGCCATTCTTACAAATTGTAACAATATTGTCAGCAACTACCAATATCATTTAATTAATACCAATAACGAGAACAAAACCACTTAAAAAATTATGAAATATACTATTATATATTATCAAATAACTCGAAACTCTCTTTGGATAATATTAAAATTTTAAAGCAATTTAGTAAAACTAATTATACGAAAATATATATTGCCTATATATTATTAATTGTAATCATTATAAAATAGATTTCTCTACATATTAAGAAATACAAAAATTTATTATTATCAAAAAACAAAGGGAAGAACTAAAAAAGTATTTTAACGAATAAGTTTTTTTTTGAAAAAATAATTATGTAATCGTTAAACAAAATTCAAAAGTTATCCAACTTGCTGAGATAAATACTCGTAAACCAATCGTAAAGTAAACACAAGGAAGTTCGAAGCTGAGCCCTCACATTCGAGGCCCATTAAAGTCTAGCACCAACAACATAAAAATTAGCAAGGAAGAACGCTATAGTCGACCACCTCGAGTATCAGATACCCGTTACTCAGCTTAAGGGAAAAAGGAAAATGGAGATATGCTAGCAGCAAAGCGAGATTGAAATGCGCCACCTACCCGGGATCTCAATATATGGTTATTTGGGCGTTAGAGTGGGCGCGGCAAACAATCGATAGGTATAGGCGAGACTAATACATTTCAGTAAAAAAAAATTTCAGCAGAAAAATTGTGGGCTCCGCAGGCCTTGGCGGTTTGTGGGCGTTAGGGTGGGCATGGCGAACTTTTGTTTGGATTAATCGATAGGTATTGACGAGACTAATACATATCAGTACATTTTATCTAACTTGAAAGTTGTGGGCGCCACAGGTTTGGGCGATTTGTGGGCGTTAGAGTGGGCGTGGCATATTCGCGTAACAAATTTGCGCTGCGGACAAGGCTACGGAATCGATCTGAAATCCCAATTCTCTATCCTTGATAGTTTCCGATGTGTCCGCGTTGTCCGATTTTTTGAAGTTTGTGGGGGGTTTGTGGGCGTCAAAGTAGGTGTGGCAAACTTTTTTTTTGGGTCAATTGATAACAACAATACATTTCAGATAACATTTTTATTCTAGCATCAAAACTGTAGGAGTTTTGGGCGGTTTTTGGGCGTTAGAGTGGGTGTAGCTCTCTGCTGAAACAAACTGGCGCTAAAGAAGCTCTGGAATCTGCATGCCAAATGCCAATAGCATAGCTCTTTTAGTTTCCGGGATCTCAGCGTTCATTTGGACGGACAGAAGGACATGGCTAGATCGACTCGGCTTGTAATCGTGATCAAGAAAATTTATACTTTATGGGATCGGAAACGCTTTCGTCTACCTGTCACATACTTTCCGACGAAACTAGTATACCCTTTTACTCTACGAGTAAAGGGTGTAAAAATAAAGAATTGGTTTTTTACGTCAACGAATTATCATAAAACTAATTTGCATTTAATTTTTCACGACAAGCTTCAGAGTCCTGTTAACACCCTCGATATCGGCCTTTTGATCGATGATCTCCCCTGTATTGAGTAACGTTTGCGGTACTGCCGGCCACTTTCTATAATTTGCCGACCAGCTTGGGGTCCTTTGCCAGATTTGCAGTTCACTATTACTTTTCGTCCTTCAGGGTTTGCTGGAGGAATTTCTTCCGGATAAGGTCAATCGTAGGAAAGGTAAAGTTAATCTCAGGGAAACAGTCAGGACGTCCTTCTGGACATCAGTCTTCTTCAAGTCTGAACTCTGCGCTGATGGTAATATCACCTCTTACCCAGGGACACGAGGAACAGAAAAAATTCGGTTTGTCTTCTCTATTTGGCTGGGGTCTTTTATACCGGACTAGAGCTTTTACTAACATCCCATACTAGGTTGATTAACTTGGTGCTTGCACCCTTCTGCCCTTGAATTATTATAGTTTCAGTCAGAAGTTTCTAACGCAGTAAAGGAATTACACTCTACTATACAAATTACTTTTATTACTTTATAAGATATATTATACCTACAACTTATAACAAATATCTATTTTGCAATAGTCTATAAAAACACACTACTCAAAATCATATCTAAAATACATTGCCTGTCTAAAAAATTGATCAAATTAAAAAGTATTAGCTTACATTTTTTAAATTAGGGAATTATTAAAGCGGACTTCGATCTTTCTACACTTCATGCAATATCAGAGGTTAGATTGCCGGATGAAGTAGTGCCCCTGAACTATGAACTTTATATTGAACCCAAAATAGAAAACCAATATTTTAGTGGAATAGTGAAAATATCATTAAAATGGATAACAGATTCAAAAAAGGTCCATTTCCATGCATATGCAAACTTATTGATAGACCTAAAAAAAATCTATCTGAGCAGATTAAATGTGGAAAACAGGTAAGTAAGCCTTATAAAAAAGATTTTTGTATCTTTTATAACTTAATATAAACAGCAGGACAACTATCGAAACCCTTACAATTTTAAGGGGCGGTCGACTTCCTCGAAAGGATGTATTTGTTTTGTACCTTAAAGATTACGTGAAAATGGATTCTGAATGTCTTCTAGAAATTTCTTTTGAGGGAAATATTTTAGAAGCTGAGGAAGGACTCTTTAAAAGTTATTATACCAATTCGACCAATAATGGCCAAGAGGTATATTTTGCTACTAACCTGAAACCAACCTATGCTCGTCGAGTGTTTCCATGCTTTGATGAACCAGGAATAAAGGTAAAATATGTTTAACAAATAATATACTTGTACATTTAATACTCAGCTTATATTCGAATTCAGGTTCCTTTCAATGTATCAATTGCCAGGCCTAAAGAATATATTACACTTTTTAATACTCGACTGCATCGTACCATTCCGCAGTAAGTACAATTTTTACATTTTCTGATATCTATATTTATATATATAACATTCATCGGAAAGTGTGTAACAGGTGGAAGGAAGCGTTTCCGACCCTATAAAGTAAATATATTCTTGATCAAGATCACTAGCCGAGTCGATCTAACGCTGAGATCTCGGAAGCTAAAAGACCTAGAAAGTTGGCATTAAACATGTAGATTCTTGGGTTTCCTGCACAGCGCAGGTTTGTTTCGGCGATGTGCTACGCCCACTATAACATCACAAGCTAGTACAGCCCCCGCTTTTTTATATTTTGTAAAAACGTAAAGAGAATTTGTTCTACATGCCAAATATTTTTCAAATCGAACCATTCATTAAAAAGTTATTACTAAATAATAATCAATAATTAGAAAATTCAATCGAGCGTTGCCAGAAACGAAAAAAGGTATATATATATATGTATGTCGATAGATATGGCATCATGTGCCTGAATAAGGGTGTTTATTAAAGACTGCCGTTCATGAACATCCCGGCCCGCCCTGAAACACAGTTTCTGAACTGGGCAAAACGGCAACCTTCGTGATAGGTCTGATCATCTCTCCGGTTGATGTTTTCAATTTGACTGCTCGAACAAGGTTTTCCTTCCCTGGATAGGTTTCCATAACCCGTGCGATGTGCCAAGATGCTGGTGGTGTGTTGGACTCCTTAAGGAGAACTACAACACTGATAGAGAGGTTGGGTGTTGAAGTCGTCCATTTCGGACGTTGTTGCAGAGTAGTCAGATACACCATTGCTTCCAGAATCCCTGAAGCATAGCCTGGATGCTTTGACAATATCCCAATCGGCCCACAGGGTTGTGGCTTAAGTCAGGATCTGGCACGGTGGTAAGCGGTCGCCCAATTAAGAAGTGGGCGGGTGATAAGTAGTTGTTTTCGGGGTCCAATGTGAAGCATAAGGGGCGTGAATTTATCACTGCGCTGATTTGAGCAAGCAAGGTGCGAATTTGTTTGAAGGTGAGCGTTGAATTGACGGTGACGCGGCGCAGATTCAGTTTGACACAGCGAACTGCCAACTCCCATTTCCCTGGCCAATGAGGAGCTCTAGGGGGAATGAGTATCCACTGAATTACATCATCCGCCAGAGTGGATGTGCCGATGTCCTTGTGTCGTTGTGATGAAAGCATATCTTGCATTTCGTTATGGGATCGCCTAGCTCCAATAAAGTTTGTTCGGTTGTCGCTGTAGATCTTTTACACTTGCCACGCAGGGATATGAAGCGCCGCAAGGCAGCCAGGAAGGTTTCTGTTGTCAGGTCTGTGGCAAGTTCCAGGTGTATGGCCGAGGTGACCATGCAGACGAACAGGCAAATGTAGCCCTTGCTGATACGTGGCTTTCGAACTTTGGCATCCTTCAGAAAGATTGGATCTGCATAGTCGCAACCAGTATTGACAAGTGGAAGGGCTTGAGTGTCACGCACGCTGGGTAAAGCAGTCATTTGTTGTCGGGCAGTGTGGTAGCGTTGACGAAAGCAGAATAAACAGTCGTGTGTTATTCTGCGAATAAGATTACGTGCTCCAATTATCCAGAATCTCTGACGAACGATTACAAACAGGGAAGAAACGCCAGTGTGAAGATTTACTCGGTGCTCGTGTTTCAGGATCAGATTCGAAATGCGTTTTTGGTGGCAAAACTGGATGTTTTGCCTCTCGTGACAATTACGATTGGTGTAGTCGTCCGCCTACCCTCAGCAGGTCGTGTTCGTCTATCATTGGTGCAAGTTTGACCAACTGCGATCGGTTCCTTAGGGGTTTCTTGGCAAGGAGCAATTGATAGTCCTCGTGGAAACAGAGTTGCGCGTGTTTTATACAAATGATCCTTTCTGCCCTAATCTCTTCAAATATAAGAGCTCTTGAGGCCTTATCGCAGGATGGATTTAGTGTACGTTGAATGAATCACTTCACATAGGCAACAATGTGAACAAGCTTGAGCCAAGAAGAAACTCGTGCGATCAGCTCATTGAGTGGATGAACCTGAGTTGCAACAGCCATTGTAGCTTTACCTGGAGTCTTGCATCATATGGAGTTGCCTTTTTAACGGCTACCCCACACGCGTTGGTCCGAAGAGAGGGTTAACTTCAAAGGCGGCATGCGCGTGGCATACGTGCGTTTTATTCTGTGAACAATTCAAATCAGCCTCATACACTTCAAACTAACTTAATCTTACCGCAGTGTGCCCTCCTACAATTCGCAAGACAATGAGAAGCACATTTTTTGGCGGCATTCACTATACCGATATTAGTAGGCCCACACTTCAAGGGCCAAGAAATCCATACGAGATCGGATAACTTAACAAATACTAGATTTTTCTTACGATACTTTTTCTAGCTATTAAAATGTTTGACCGTCGACATCCCCGACCCCGTGAAGAACCGCTTCACTCAAATACAAAACTGCAAGTTTTGAGACGGGCCGCAACATTGTCCGAGATTGGCCATTGTCGTTCACGCGCACAGTGCACATTGGGCGATTTTCCCAAAAAAGTGGCATAAAGTCAAAAAATGTATGATAGAATATTAAAAAAACCTTGTTATTTATTAATAGTAAACACTTCAGGAAGCTTAAAAAAATTTTTGTTTTTTGCTGGGTGGCAACTCTCTTTATGTGGCAGCCTCTTAAAGTCAGCTGATGGCAAGCAGCTTTCGATTGTAAAAGTTACCGCGAAAATTTTACTTCTGCAATTGATCAGTGTGCGTATGTTTTTATGCAGTTTAATATATATATTTAGTATGGAAAACAAAGATCAAGGTATATATAATCTGTATGTTATGGCAAAAGTACATAAATATTTGTGTTGTTGTTTTTGTCCAGTGTTGTTGTTGGTTGTATTTGAACTAAAATTTTAACAATTGTAATCGTGTTCCGTGAAGTATTTCTATATCAAGAGCAAGCCAGAGCAGGCAACTAATAATGGCAAGTTACTAACTTAAATGTCTATTTTCATTTGGTAAAAATCTCATTTCCCCGTTTTCCCCCGTTTATACAAAAAATGCACTTGTAGTTGTTGTTGCGATTACCAACAGCGAGCTTGCCGATATTTGGAACGGCAACAATCGAAACGCAAGCGCTGTAACGTCGTTTATTTTAACAAAAATAAATAAAGATGATTTGAGCATATCGCACATGAATGCAATAGAAGCCAAAGTATCAATTTTTGTAAATCATATTAAACGGTATTTACGCAAACATCACGCAGATCTGGATAAAATTAAGTCGATTTACTCAGAATGGTTTTCAAAAAGTTTTGAAATACGAATCGATATGGAGGATACCAAAAATTCATCACCTTCCAAAATAGGACGCCCAAAATTAGGGTATACAGAGGCCGGGTCAAGGCTTAGAAGGAAAATGGCTCTAGAAGTTGCCATAGAAAATGACATGTCAACTCCTTTACTTCTGCATGCAGCCTCAACATCTGCGCGAAAAAGAAAAAATAATGAAGCAGTCGGCGTGCAGCAGGAAGTCAATATAGAAAAAAAAATTAAGAATGTGTCAAACAAAGAGCCTTTAAAAATGTCAAATAATGTAGCCTTAGCCTATATATTGGAAAATGGGCTAACAAAACAACAATATATTAATACTAAGAAACTAAATAAGGCGTACGGGAACGACATATATCCTGGTTATGATGCAATAAAACAAACGAAGATGCAGTGCAGACCAACAGGAGTACAAATTACAGAATCTGTTGCAAAGGTTTCTTTGCAGGATTTGCTAAGCCATACGGCTGAACGAATTTTAGTTTTACAAAAGGAAGTTTTGGAACAAATGGAAAATGTTACAGAGTGCACACTTATTGCATGTTATGGATTTGATTGGTCGACCGGTCAAAGTTCCTATAAACAGAAATTCGATTTTGATGAACCCGATTCTTCCGACAGTTCTCTATTCGTGGCAACTATGATTCCAATAAGATTAGTGGATTCCTTAAATCGTTTAATTTTGGTAAACAAAAGCCCCCAGTCTGTACGCTTCTGCAGGCCGATTAAAATTGAATACGCTAAAGAAAGCATTGCAAAAATCCAAGAAGAAAAGCATAATTTAGATATGCAAGTAGCAAACTTGCACAATTTTAAATCACATAGCGCAAACATTTCGGTTAATTTTAAAACATATATGACATTGATTGACGGCAAGGTACTTAATGTTTTAACAAATACGAAATCTACGCAATGTTGTCCTATATGTGCCATAAATCCAAAAGCGCTTATGCACATTAATGATTTCAGTTCTAAAATTTTTAAACCTAAACCTGACTCTTTGAAATACGGCGTTAGTCCGTTACACGCCTGGATCAGGTTTATGGAATTCGTTTTAAACATATCATATCGAATCGATATTAAAACTTGGCACGTAAAAGGAGAGAATAAAAACAAAATGATATCGCGGAAGAAGGAAATCCAACAAAGAATATGGAAGGAAATGGGATTACATATTAGCATACCAAAACAGAATGGATCTGGTAACAGCAACGATGGGAATACGGCGAGGCGAATCTTTGCAAATACCAAACTTTTTGCAGAAATCACATTGTTTGACGAGGTCCTATTAAATAAATTCCACCATTTATTAATAGCAATTTCGTGTGAATTTGCCATAAACACAGACAAATTTCGAAGTTTTTGCAACGATACATTTTTATTGTATATGCAGGCGTATCCATGGTACCCAATGTCCCCAACAGTTCATAAGATTATAGTTCACGGATCAGATATTATGGATCAGTTTGTAGTTCCTGTTGGGTGCCTGGGCGAAAATGCATCAGAGGCACGCAACAAACTCTATAAAATGGACCGACGTTCCCATGCTAGAAAAAATTGCAGGCTAAATAATATAACTGACGTTTTTTATAGATCTATTGACTCATCCGACCCTCTAATTTCAAGCTTGAATATAAATAATACTCCAAAACTGCTTAAAAAAAAATCACTTCCTGCAGAAGTTATTGCGTTTTTGGAAACTCCAACCTTAAATATAAGTTCA